ACAGCTCACACAGCAGCAGTGTTAATACAAGTGACTTGCAAGCACTTAGAACTGTGCACTGCTGCATGCTGGACCAGTTGTAACTTCTGAGTGGTCTTCAAGGGCAGCCCCAAGTACAGCAGATTACAGTAATCCAACTGAGAAGTGACTAAGGTGTGAGTGACTTTGAGCAAGGCCTCCCAGTCTAAGAAAGGACACAATTGGTGCACAAGACAAACTTGTGCAAAGCCCCCCTTAGCCATGGTTGCCACCTGCTCTGAAAGCTGGAGTCATGAGTCCTGAAGGACCCCCAAATTGTGCACTGACTCTATCCAGAGGAATGCTACCCCAATAAGAGCCAAATATGACAACTTATCCAACCCCAGAGGGCCAAAAACCCAAAGACACTCCATCTTGCCAGGGATGAGATGAAGCTAGGTCCTCCCAGCCTGCAGGCACTGGGTAAGTCCCACCTACCCGACATGGGGCACCGATGTATAACTGAGTATCATCTGCATACTGATGATACTGCACCCCATGTTGTGAATAGCCTCACCCAGCAGTCTCGTGTAGATGTTAAAGATGAGGTAAGAGACCCAAGCCCTGAGGCACACCACATAACTGGGGCCTTAGGGTGGACATCCTCCCCCCACCAACACCAACTGGAACTGCCCAGGGTGAAAGGGAAAGAACACGGCAAAACAGTGCCTCCCACTCCCAGCCCAGAGCTGGTCCAGCAGGGTACCTTGGTCGATGGTATTGGAAGCCAGTGAGAGATCTAGGAGGGCCAGGACAGACACACCACCACCATCCTGAGCTCTCCAAAGATCACCCACAAGTGCAACTAATGCAATGTCAGTACTAAACCCAGCCTGAACCCTGACTGAAAAGGGTCCAGATTATCCATAAATCTTATCTCAGCTTTGGACATTCAATCTTTATTGCTATCATCACGGTGCTGTTTTTGAGGAAAGGGAGGGGAAACAAAAAACAGTGGCTTGCCTCCTGCCCTTTGGGGAGGCCAAGATTAAATTATGATTTGAATAAGGATTCCCTCCTCCTTTCTTTTCACCCCTAAGCTATCAACAAGTGAGAAGTGTCAGAGGTTTTCAACTTGCCATTATAATGATGGTGAAGCCCTGCCCGGCAGGAATGATAATACAAGAAAGGTACTAGGCCATTACAAAATGGTATGTCTGAAAGATGTGACTACAGCAAAAGAGCTGAGCAGAAAGCAGAAGACAGCGTTCACACATCATGCAATGCTATAATTGCTTAGCCACAATTTGCTGAATAAACCACCATGGTTGGGTTAACTTACCACATTAAGCCAAAAACCAAACAAACCACAGGACTGCTAAAGCTTCATGTGTGAATCCAGTTAGCATGAGCCACTGCAACTGGGCAACAAGTGTTTCTCTGATACTTGGAAGATAGGGCAAGGATGGAGATGGAAAAATTCAATCTGGAGCAAGGATCCTGTGATCCACTGGGATGCTGCTGAA